AAATTGCATGACACTGTCATCCGATCAGCCCATCCTCTTCATTCTGATTGGGCACATCGACGAATGCAGCATTGCAGATTGGCCGCTTGATGACAGGCTAGCATTTCGAGCTGACCCGCCCAAAGGGAGGACCGTCCTCCCTGTCCTCTATTCACTTCAATGTTAAAATGAGAAGCCCGCGCTACGGCCAGGTTTTGAGCATTTATAATGGGAGTCAATGAGGGGGTTAGGGAGGACGGTCCTTAGCGGACCGTTTAGCGATTTAGAAGTGCTAAAATAGAATTTTACCGCAAACAACCTACTAAATACCTATGAAATACCAACAATTATATAATTAATACGTTTTTCATTTTTATTATAATATCTTCTGCAAGTTTTGACAATTTTTTTAGGGAGGATCTTCCTCCCTTTCCTCAATGGGGGAGACGCCCTTGATATATATACAGGTGCTGGTCATAAAATTAGAATATCATGAAAAAGTAGATTGATTTCAGTAATTCCATTTAAAAAGTGAAACTTGTATATTATATTCATACATTACATACAAACTCATATATTTCAGATGTTTATTTTGTTTAATTTTGATGATTACAAATGACAACAAATGAAAATCTCAGATTCATCATATCAGAAAATTAGAATATTACTGAAGACCAATAAAAACAAAGGATTTATAGAAATGTTGGCCAACTGAAAAGTATGAACATGAAAAGTATGAGCATGTACAGCACTCAGTATTTAGTTGGGCCTCCTTTGGCCTGTATTACTGCAGCAATGCGGCGTGGCATGGAGTCGATCAGTCTGTGGCACTGCTCAGGTGTTATGATAGCCCAGGTTGCTCTAATAGTGGCTTTTAGCTCTTCTGAATTGTTGGGTCTGGTGTATTGCATCTTCTTCTTCACAATACCCCATAGATTTTCTATGGGGTTAAGGTCAGGAGAGTTTGCTGGCCAATTAAGAACAGGGATACCATGGTCCTTCAACCAGGTACTGGTAGCTTTGGCACTGTGTGCAGGTGCCAAGTCCTGTTGGAAAATGAAATCTGCATCTCCAAAAAGTTGGTCAGCTGCAGGAAGCATGAAGTGCTCTAAAACTTCCTGGTATGTGGCTGCGTTGACCCTGGACCTCAGAAAGCACAATGGACCAACACCAGCAGATGACATGGCACCCCAAACCATCACTGACTGTGGAAACTTTACACTGGACTTCAAGCAACGTGGATGAAGTGCCTCTCTTCTTTTCCTCCAGACTCTGGGACCTTGATTTCCAAAGGAAATGCAAAATTTACTTTCATCAGAGAACATGACTTTGGACCACTCACCAGCAGTCCAGTCCTGTTTCTCTTTAGCCCAGGCAAGACGCTTCTGACGCTGTCTGTGGTTCAAGAGTGGCTTGACACAACGAATGCGACAGCAGAAACCCATGTCTTTCATACGTCTGTGTGTGGTGGTTCTTGAAGCACTCACTCCAGCTGCAGTCCACTCTTTGTGAATCTCCCCCACATTTTTGAAGGGGTTTTGTTTCACAATCCTCTCCAGGGTGCGGTTATCTCTCTTGCTTGTACACTTTTTTCGACCACATCTTTTCCTTCCCTTCGCCTCTCTATTAATGTGCTTGGACACTGAGCTCTGTGAACAGCCAGCCTCTTTAGCGATGACCTTTTGTGTCTTGCCCTCCTTGTGCAAGGTGTCGATGGTCGTCTTTTGGACAACTGTCAAGTCAGCAGTCTTCCCCATGATTGTGTAGCCTATAGAAATAGACTGAAAGACCATTTAAAGGCTTTTGCAGGTGGTTTGAGTTAATTAGCTGATTAGAGTGTGGCACCAGGGGCCATCAATTTTGAACCTTTTCACAATATTCTAATTTTCTGATATGATGAATTTGAGATTTTCATTTGTTGTCATTTGTAATCATCAAAATTAAACAAAATAAACATCTGAAATATATGAGTTTGTATGTAATGTATGAATATAATATACAAGTTTCACTTTTTAAATGGAATTACTGAAATCAATCTACTTTTTCATGATATTCTAATTTTATGACCAGCACCTGTATATATTGTTGTATTCTGATGAAGATTCTCAGTCATCCAGGTCATAGTCATTCCATAAAAGTTCAAAAAATATCCACTGGACTTGGTTTCCAAGGTTTGAAGACGTTTCTCCACCTCTCCAGGAAGCTTTCTCAATTCAATTGTCTGGATCCGCAGTGAGTTTGAGTCTTTATATCAGGGTTCCTACAGCATGAGGCGAGTTAAATTCAAGACTTTTTAAGACTTTTTAATGCCACTTGAAATAAAAATTTAAGACCAAATTCACAAGAAAAACCCGCTTGCAACAACTTATCCCAAAGGTTTATTTTAACATAAACCACTGCACTAATGTTTCAAATGTTGAAAAGCTTCCCATACAGGAAGAAAGCTAAAAACACACAGATGACAGATATATTTGTACAATTATTTAACTGAATTCACAAACTTTTTTTTTAGCAGGGAACAAAACAAATCAGTTTTAAAGCCCCAACATAACCAGTGCTAAGTCTTTTTTGCAGCTATTTTTCTTTGTATGGTTTTCTTAGTATGTTTGATTTGGTGATAAGTGGAGGCGTTGCAGAGACAAGGGTGGAACTAAACTGAGAAATACCGGCTGTTTCTCCGTAACTCCATTTTGACGCTTTGTGTTTCGTGCTTCGCATGTGCAACTCCACTGCCTTAATTCCCATCGTTCTGAGCTTGAATGACTTCTTGCATAAATCCACTGAGCCTGGTTCTGCTGGAGGTTTCTTCCTGTTAAAAGGGAGTTTTTCCTCTCCACTGTCGCTACAAGCATGCTTAGTGTGAGGGATTGTATTTGAGTCAATGAGTCAATGCAATCAACTGGTTTTCCTTAGATAGAAAACTTTGTATCAATTTGACTGTATGATCTGGTTGAACTGTAAAGTGCCTTGAGATGACATGTGTTGTGAATTTGGCGCTATATAAATAAACTGAATTGAATTGAATCATGTTTGTTCCCTGGTTTTAGCCATGGAGAAAACTCTTGGCTGGAGACAATTTTGGTTACATTTACACTTGCTCATGTTTTCCAGACAAAAACTTAATGGAGCATCTCCCAAATGTCCCGGCTGCAACAACGCTTTATTGGTTCCGCTATCGGGACGGAACCAATAATGGTGAGCACTTTTTTTTTTTTTATATAAAAAAATAAATGTTTTCAATTTTAACGTTTTATTTAGATTCCAAAAATAAATCGAAATAAAAATAATCCTATTTATGATGTTTTAAAAAATAAGACCTATGAAAGACTAATTTAAGACATTTTAATACCAATTAAGGCCTTAGTTTTATTTTGAAGAATTCAATTCCTTTTAAGACTTTTTAAGGACCCGCGGGAAGCCTGTTATAGTACACTTAGAGCCCGTGTTGCCATACGAAGCTTATATGCATGTTATCCGATGCTGGCTCTTCATCCCTCCTCATCCTCCTCGACCTTTCTGCTGCATTCGATACTGTGGACCATGGCATTCTCCTAAACCGGCTCCACCTCACCGCTGGACTAAATGACACTGCTCTCAGTTGGTTCAGGTCATATCTCACCAACCGGACAGAATCCATCTCCCTCGGCCGCTCCAAATCAAATTGGCACACAGTAACGTGTGGTGTCCCCCAGGGGTCAGTCCTCGGCCCCATCCTCTTCATCCTTTACCTTACCCCCCTTGGCCAAATCATCAGCCGCCACAATATCTCATTCCACTGCTATGCTGATGACATACAGCTCTATGTAAATGTCACAGCTGACCCCCCACCCTCACAGTCATCCCCATCAAAACTCACCACCTGTCTGGAGGAGAGAAAGGTATGGATGGAGGAAAACTTTCTTCAACTTAATAGCTCCAAAACCAAAGCCATGCTGGTTGGAACTCCTCGTCAAACTAAATCATTAACCATAACCAGCATCACTTTTTCTGGTACTAACACTCCGCTTTCATCAACCGTTAGTAATCTTGGTGTAAGAATGGACTCACTACTCACTTTTGAAGCCCACATAAGTCAATTATGCAAGACTTCTTTCTACCACCTCCCATTCTCTCCCTCCCAGACGCCGAGGAGCTGGTCCATGCCTTTGTCTCCTCCAGACTGGACTATTGCAACGCACTTCTCTTTGGGATCCCTAAAAAGAGTCTGCAGACAGAGGCTTCAGTTCAAAACTCTGCAGCTAGGATCCTGATGGGAGTGCGGAAACATGAGCACATTACCCCCAGTCTCCATTCACTGCACTGGCTTCCCATCCCCACCAGGATAGAATACAAGGTCTCCCTCCTCAGACATCAATGCATCCATGCAAATGCAAAGAACTTATCAAGCCACAGAACACGTCCCGCTCCATTTGCTCCACTCACTCAAACCTGCTCCACATTCCCAGAACCAGACTCAGGACGATGGGAGATAGAGCATTCTGTGCTGCTGCCCCACGTCTGTGGAATTCCCTCCCTGACACCTTGAGGGCTCCTCAGTCCACTGAGTGATTTAAAAAAGGCCTTAAAACATTTATTTTTAGCAAAACTTTTGGTCCCCCTTAGATGTTTCTTTTTTCTCTTTTAATACAGCTTTTATTATTTTATTTTATTTCTTTTATCTCTATGTATTTCTTTTTAAATGCTTTTTTGTAGCACTTTGAGGCCTTTTTGGTGAAAAGTGCATTATAAATTAAATGAATTATTATTATTATTATTAAGACGTTTACATTTTTGCGGCTCCAGTCAGATTTGTTTTTTGTTTATTTTTTGGTCCAATATTGCTCTTTGAGCAGTTTGGGTTGCCGACCTCTGGCCTAGTTAAAGTCCAACATGAGCAGGCTTGTAAATTGATCCCCTTGAGCTGTTTTATGAAGAACAATGGACCAGAACTGCAGTATGTAGATGTTCAAACTGGTAGAAACATAAAAAAAACAAACTATGATATGAAGCTAAAGGAGGTTCTACAAAGACGGAGAACCAACCGAGCAGATGACAGTTGTTCAGGGCCCAGCAGTAGGCGTAGAAACACTCCTCCAGAGCTCGAGGAAAAGGCGCTTCAGGTGACAGAGAGTAGTCCACAGAGAGGATGGGGACGCTCAGCTCCTTCGACCAGTTCCGAAGGTAATTCTGGCAAAAGGAGAGAAATCGGTTATCTTCAGGGATAAGAGGTAACCTCCCAGCAGGAAGAACAAACAGCTTGGGCTACACGGTGAGGTCTACCTCGTGCGAACGTGACGTTTGGGCCACAAAGCCTCCTCCGTGGAAATGGACGAGCAGCCAAGGAGATGGAGGCTTCTTTTGGACCCAGGGCAGGCGAGGCGATGAGATGGGGCCCACATCGCTCTGGGACAACCTGAGCAGCTCTTCACTGTCCTGAAACGTCAAAGGAGAAACCATTTATCAGAAAAAAAAAGTGACAGCTAAACCAGATTTTTTAAGTTGTTTTTAAGACATTAAACCAGACTAAACCTTCAGTGTCTCAGAAATGTTCTGTCCTTTTACTGTCTGGGAATGATAGCTGGACCTTTCAGAATAAAACTGAACATGACAGTTATTGCTCTGAAGCTGTAACTATCCACTAAGCGCCACAGGAACCGTTTTTAGGTCGTCCTCTATTCATTATTTGGGACTGAATGTGTCTGTTGTAGGAGGGATTTACCATTAGGCAATACCAGGCAGTTTCCTAGGGCCCCAGGTTCCTGGGGGCCCCATAAAACTCTGTTTCCATGTATGGTTAATACAAATATTCCTTATTTCTGCACATTAATTATGTTTTTGATTAAAATCCTTTTGCTAAAATGCCATCAGAACGCTGATAATATTAAGTGTGTCTCAGCCCCCCCCTTCAGTGTCCACCATATTGGATCAGTCCATTTGCTGCACATGTTCAGAAAGGTCCAAACAGACAGCAGCAAACCATTTGAAAACAAACCATGCAAAGAGCAGTGTTGCCAACTTAGCACTTTAGTCGCTATATTTAGCCACTTTTCAGACCCCTCTAGCACTTTGATTTCTAAAAAGCTCCTAGCGCCAAATCTAGAGACTTTTTTCTGCTACTGGAGACTTTGGAGACAACGTCTAGTTATTTACTTTGGCCTTTTTGGAAACACAGGAAGGAGCAATCAGCTAAGTGAGCTTAGTGCTTGGAAAAAATCTTTCATTCCTTTAGAGACAGCATGAAAAGTCAGCTGAGTACAAAACATAGAGAGGAAAACAAGAAGAAAAGGTACAAGAAGAGAGGGACACAACCTAGAACAGATAATGGATGTCTATTCTATTAACATTTCTCTATCTGGAGAATGGGGCTGTTTGATGTGTTGTCTTCTCCATTCAGAGGGCCCCCTGCCTGTTTTTCTGCCCCATATTTCCTAAATCCACTTCTGGTCTGATGCAAACTTGGATTTTTATGCTGATGATATTTGGTTATTTATTGCACTGGAGCCTCTCCTACTGAGGCCGTAGGACTTTTCATAAATCCTTTCTTGCTATCCAATGGTCTTTATTAAATGTAACATTTCAGGCTGCTTTAGGAAGCTTTTTTTTCCTCTTCACAAATGAAATAATCAATTATCAAAATTCTTTTTATATTAACTCGGGTTCCTCTTGGTGTTGGGATTTGTTTGACGACAAACAAACACACACACAAAAAAAAATCCCTTTAATACTTTCTCTGCAAGCAGATAAACAGAGTCCAACAGCAAACTTGTTCTGTTTCCAGTTTGATCATTTGTCATAAACGGCAATAAGATATCAAAGGACTTTACAAATGAGCTGCATAACAACGCTTCTTTTTAAGGTCTGTTTCCCATCTGAACCAGAACCACACAGTGCGGTCCATATAACAGTTTTAGTCCGTGAGGCAGACACCCTGCCTACTTTTAAGGCTAGGCTTAAAACTTTCCTTTTTGATAAAGCTTCTAGTTAGAGTGGCTCAGGTTATCCTGATCTATCTCTATAGTTCTGCTGCTATAGGCTTAGACTGCTGGAGGACATAGGGACCCCTTTTTCATCATTCTGCTTCATTCTATCTCTATTCTCTCCACTCTGCAGAATCTGTTAGTTCAAACTCTAACGTTCTGCTCTCTCTGCTTTTTCTCATAGTAGCTTCATCTGGTCTGTTCCTGTTTGGCTGTGACTCCATCCTGGAGAGAAATATCAGCTGTGCTGCTGCCATCAACACCTTTGTTTCTAGATGTTGGAGCTTGGCCTGTTTTCCAGTGTAGTCCTGTTTCTCTGACTGTGACTAACTGGATGTGCTCTCTTCATCCTCTGACATGGGAGCTGGCTCGGAGCTCGTCTGCCTGGCTGTGTGTTTCCTGGACGGGGCCGCCTGTGGAGCTGGTTGACAGTTGCCTTTTGTATCTATGCTTCTTTTTCTATGTCTGCTTCTGTCTCCTTGAACCCCAGTGGGCCTCAGCAGATGGCCGCTCACACTGAGCCTGGTTCTGCTGGAGGTTTCTTCCTGTTCAAAGGGAGTTTTTCCTCTCCACTGTCGCTACAAGCATGCTTAGTGTGAGGGATTGCTGAAGAGTCAATGAGTCGATGCAATCAGCTGGTTTTCCTTAGATAGAAAACTTTGAATTAATCTGACTGGATGATCTGGTGAACTGGAAAGTGCCTTCAGATGACGTTTATCAAACTTTGATGACGTTTATTTCTTCTCCTTTGCATTTTAAACCCATGGATCGTATATTTATGATCCTCACCTGACCCTCTCGCAGCTCATAGGAGATCAGCCTCATGTAGACCGGCCCGGGGCCCCAGTGGGCAATGGGAGGAGATATGCTGGTGGACAGCCTGGGGTCCGAGGCCAGAGGGAGACGCAGGCTGACCGGAGGTACGGTCAGCGTGATGTTCACCTGCACCGGGTTCGAGGCGATCCGGGTAAATCCCTGGGAAGAGGAAAACATGTGAGGAGGCGGCGCAGCTGTCGCTGACGAATCTGATGAAATAAGGAGTATTTGACCCTGCCTACTGATAAAATGTCAGACTCTGTGACGTTCCAGAAGGATTTCCAAAAGTGCAAGTCCAGGTTCTGAGTGATGCGTTCGAATTCGGCCCCTCGCAGCTCCGGATCGATCACATACTTCCCTGATGTGAGGAGCGACAGGGCGGCTGTTCCTGCAGGGGAGAGAACTCGTTTCATCAGGATGGGAGACGGTTTGCTGCAGAGCGGGAGGTAAAAGAGGCTCACCAATCCCAGACTGCTGCTTCCCATAAGTCTCTCCGTATGAAACCATGCTGATGACAATGGTTTGGAGGAACGGCCGCAGGGCGGGAGAGAACTGCAGAACCAGACAAAGCACATCCAGCTCTTAATGGATGAGCGGGACGATCACAAACATCGGATCTGACTCTATGTGTGCGTCACAAAGCTGCCGGCCCACCTGGAAGCCCAGACAGCGTCCGTAGAAACAGGCTTTGTGCATGGAGCTGTACTCCTGCACGAATCTGTCGCTCAGGTCGGTGTCCTGCTGCGTGTACAGCTGACCGTGGTCGTTGTCGTGGATCAGCTGCTGTGCCAGGTAGAGCAGGGCTCGCAGCTGGCAGAGGGCGCTGCAGTACGCCTCCATCTCCGTAGCGTTGTGCTCCGCCCTAAAGAAGGCGCCGCTGTAGTTGGAGGCGATGTAACGGCCTTTATGGATGATGTGCACGAGGCAGGACTGCAAGACCTGGAACGGAGACGGAGGCGGAAGGTGGAGATGAACGCTGCTTGGTGGCAAGAAAAACAAACTGCATGATCAGTGAACATCCTGGAAAAGGAATCAGGTTCCTTTAGTTTAAAATGATTCTATCAGATGAAGGAGAACCGGAGAAAATACAACATATCGGTTCATTGAGACTAATCAGACCGTTTGGATTTGTTTTCATTAATGACTTCCTGCAAACTACGCGATGCTTCTCAAACAACTCAGGATGCATCCAGATGAACGTTGCATGAAACGGTTGGGAAATCCACAATAACTAACCTAAATAAAGAACTAAAGAAATGGAAATATCACCTGAAAACTGTCTTACCTATTTGCTCAAATTAAGGGAAAATACACCAATTTCAGGAAAAAATTATTACATTATATTTAAAATTTTGCGATGTGGAACCAAGTAGGAGTTTTGACTAGTAAGGCATGCACCCCGTCTACTTTTAAGAGTACCGTATTTTCGCGACTATAAGGCGCATATAAACGTCTTTTTTTCCCCTCAAAATGTGCGGTGCGCCCTATGTGTGTTGTTACTGCAGACCTTTGAGACCACCATGGGAACGTTAAAGGGGGAAGTGTGGGCGTGGATTGTGTATAACAGAACAGGTATGTGCTTTATGCAGAACATTGTTGTCTTAACAACCCTAAAAATGGCAAAGAGACACGCCTATGAAGCACAGTTTAAACTGCAGGCTATCAGCTACACAGAGGAACATGGAAAACGAGCAGCTGCGAGAGAATTCACGATTAATGAATCGATGGTTCACAAGCGGAGGAAGCTGGAAAACGAACTCCGACAGGTGAAGAAGACGCAGCGGAGTTTCCGCGGACATAAGGCGAGGTGGCCCGAGTTGGAGGAAAGACTCGAGCGGTGGATCATCGAGCAAAGAACGAGTGGGGCCAGCGTTTCGACGGTCGCTGTTTGACTAAAAGCAGCAACGCTAGTGGAAGAAATGAAGATTGAACATTTTCAAGGAGGTGCTTTCGTTTTATGAAACGGTGCCATTTTTCCATCCGGACCAGGACTACGGTAGCTCAGCGACGTCCGGTGGATTATAATGTAAAGCCGGCGAGCTTCCACTCCTTCTGCATCAAACACATCGCCGACAAACGCATCCAGCCAAGCCACATCACCAACATGGACGAGGTGCCGCTCACTTTCGACATCCCGGTGAATCACACGGTGGAGAAGAAGGGGACCAGCACTGTAGCGATACACACAATGGGGTATGAAAAGGTGTCAACCGCTCTATTTTTAAATACGCAGTAGAGCTATTTAAACGTAGTAGAGGATATAAAACCCGCGCCCTATAGTCCGGTGCGCCTTATGTGTGTTTTAAATACAGTAATGGCGCATATAACTGAGACTGCGCCTTTTAGTACGGTGCGCCTTATGGTCGTGAAAATACGGTAGGCCTAAAACCTTTCTTTTTAATATAGCTAAATGAAACCAGGAAGTATGAAGGTACTATGGAGAGAAAATGCAGCGAAAACATAAAGGGATTCAACCAAGAAATTCTGCAGACTTTGATGTTAAATACCGTTGTCCTGAAGTGCAAACTGCAACTACAAATCTAAAAGCGCAACTACATTAAGGAAAACAAAACTACATAAAGCAAAGTGCAATTACATTAAGGAAAACACAATTACATTAACCTGCCGGAAAAGGTAGGTACCAGTGGGAAACATGAGACAATCGCTGATTGGACGACGGCGCCGTTTGACCCTTGAACCGGAAGTTGCGTCGTCTGAACAGTCCAACTTCTTTTAAGTGTGTCTTCAGTGTACGCAAACTAACTGAAAATTCGTGATTAGTCTTGAGCATATCCAGTATCACCTCGTACGTATGTCCTGATTCAAAATATTCCTGGATAACGGCAGCTATGTTTGGGGCGCCGACAATATCCATGTTTTCAAAAGCCGCAGCAGGCAGAAGGACTTCCGGTTCAAGGGTCAAACGGCGCCGTCGTCCAATCAGCGATGTCTCATGTTTCCCACTGGTACCTACCTTTTCCAGTAGGTTAATGTAATTGCGATTTCCTTAATGTAGTTGCGCTTTTAGATTTGTAGTTGCAGTTTGCACTTCAGGGGCACCGTAGTTAAGTCTTTGCTGGCTGATCCACGTTTCAGGCAAACCTGTGAAGTAGTAATTAGTTTTTCAAGGTCCTGCTCAGACATTAGTCTTTTCATTCTGGAGATGTTGGTTAGCAGATAGAAGGCTGATTTTGTTCCTGTCTTTATGAGCCTCTGAAGGTTCAGGCCTGAGTCCATCACTACAGCCAGATTTAGACCCTGGTTGGCGCTTTCTAGCTGGATCAACTAAAGCTGGGTGTTGCTAACTTTTAAACACTATTTCTTTTTTTCAAAAATTGTTATGGTACAATGAAATACCTTAATGATGAAGCTACTACGACGACAAAAATCAGGAAAAAACATTAAAAGATGATATAACCCCATTGTGAAAAACCACATGTTCATTCCTTCAATTATTGATGATTCTTTTGCTCTCTGGGACGCAAATGGACTGAAGACACTAAAGAACTTATTTATAAATGGCCAGTTTGTTTCATTTGAAATATTGAAGACAAAGTGTAAAATCCCTAACTCACATTTCTTCAGATATCTTCAGCTCCGTTTTCAGTTTTGTGTCTACCTCTTTCTGCCAGTTTCCTTTGCGACCACCTGGAAAATATCCTGGTTCTAAAACCAAACACTAAAGGACTTATTGGCAAAATATATACGGCTATTAACTCTTTTAACATGGAACCTTTAACAGATGTCAAGAGGAAATGGGAGGAGGAACTGGCTACGGACTTTTCTGAAGACATATGGCAATCCATACTAAATAACATTCATGCATCCTCCTTCTGCTTGAGGCAAAGAGTCATTCAGTTCAAAGTTGTTTATAGATTACATTGGTCCAAAGTGAGACTGTCCAAAATTAAACAAGACATTGACTCCAACTGTGATCGATGTGGAGTTGAACTGGGCACCTTATCACACATATTCTGGCTCTGTTCTAAATTGAAAAACTCCTGGGAGCCCAAATTTTTCTCTGATTCTTTAGGTATTAGCATTAAACCTGAGGCCACAATCGCGATATTTGGAATATCATTGCATGAAAATTTTCATCACAAAATTAAAAATGTAATTTCTTTTGCCACACTTCTTGCTAGAAGACAAATTTTGTTTAAATGGAAAGACACACACCCGCCATCCTTTAAGTTATGGCTGGTTGATCTTATGCATCATTTGACATTAGAGAAAATCAGATTCTCTACAAGAGGCCACGCCCACAAGTTTTTCAGTGTCTGGCTACCTATTCTGCCACACTCTTTTCACTGGAGTAATACACATTGTCATATTTTGACTGTCCTTAATGATGCAACGGGAGGGTTGTTCGAGGGGTTAAAGGGGGAAAATTGTTCTAATGTACTTGAAATTGTATTTTTCTTGACTGAATGCTTAATAAAAATACTTTGGAGAAAAAAAAGATGATATAACAATCCGTGTATGGTTTTTTTCCTTTCAAAACAAAAACGAAAATGTGGTTTTTCTGTTTTTCCGTTTTTAAAACCTAAATGTTTGCTGGAGGTTTCTTCCTGTTCAAAGGGAGTTTTTCCTCTCCACTGTCGCTACAAGCATGCTTAGTGTGAGGGATTGCTGAAGAGTCAATGAGTCGATGCAATCAGCTGGTTTTCCTCAGATAGAAAACTTTGAATCAATCTGACTGGATGATCTGGTGAACTGTAAAGGCGCTATATAAATAAACTGAATTGAATTGAAATTAAATCGAAAAAAATTAAAAATCGAATTAATAGAAAATCAACAGCGTTTGAGTTTTGTTTTGCCATCTAAATGAAAATAAAACACGGTTGTTGTTTTAATATGTAGCGGAAATGAAGTAAGTCGCCAAAGAAAAAACATTTACAGCGGATGAAGACGGCATCAAAACAAACCATATCTAAACAAAAGGCAATGGCTGCACTTGAACCGTTTTCTGCATCGATTATCGAACTTTTTGAGAGAGGAAAAAAAACATTCTGAAATCAGTGATGCTTCAAGCCGCCATGGAGCTCCACATTACTCTGTAACGAGTGTCAGAAAGTTTTATATGGAGCACAACTTGCGCCGATTCCCTCTAAATAACACAAATGTTTCCATTTTTGTTAGTATTAACTGAGTTAGGTTCTTCTTCTTCTTCTTATTGAGTTTTACTGGCGGTTGGCAAAAAACCTTAGGTGAGCATTACCGCCACCAACTGGTACAGTATGGAGTGTGGAACACATGGCAGAAAAAAAAAAAAACTATATCCTATTATACAACCTAATCTGTTTCAAAAATTCAAATATAACCCGATATCCTCTGCTTCCTGATTCCTTCTGCAATAAATCGACAAAGTTTAATTTTCATGTTACTAAGTTTCTTTATTAACCTGTTTCTCTGTATCGAAACTGAAAAAGTTCTTCTTCTTGTGGGTTGTAATGGCGGTTGGCAAGAAATTGAAGGCGTACATTACCGCCACCTACTGGTAACTAAAAAAAAGTTATGTGTCGGGAGTTCAGATCTGCCATAAGGTCTGTTGAATTAACAACAAAATAAAAGGTTGTCTTTGGTTTAACCATTGCAGTTAAAAAAAAAAAAACGTACCCTTTTTTTTCATTTTTGCAAATGCCGTTTTTCTAATTTCCTTTTAAAAACGGAAAAACAAAAAAACCACATGCTTGTTTTGTTTTTTCGTTTTTGTTTTGAAACGGAAAAAAAACCAAAGAACGAACCATACGCGGATTTATAACAAATGCTGAAGATTGGGAGAATAGAGATAGAATGAAGCAGAATGATTGAACCTAGTTTCTTCCTGTTCAAAGGGAGTTTTTCCTCTCCACTGTCGCTACAAGCATGCTTAGTGTGAGGGATTGCTGAAGAGTCAATGAGTCGATGCAACCAGCTGGTTTTCCTTAGATAGAAAACTTTGAATCAATCTGACTGGATGATCTGGTGAACTGGAAAGTGACCTGAGATGACATGATGTGAATTGTTACTATAGAAATAAACGGAATAGAATGGAAATGATGGCAGCATATGTAGCTGCTGATTGTTCATCCAGGATGTCACAGGTGTGGCTGTGTTGGTATAATTCCTCACACTGCCCACATGCAAAGAGAGCATTCAATGCTTTCAGCACTGCCCTCTAGTGATCGTCCAGGATTCATAGAACCGTAGTTACAAACGTAACTTTCATTTTGCCGTGAAACTTTGGCTTAAATGCAGGTGGATGGTCGGACCTTGTGCTGGAGGAAATTTTAATGCCTTTAGGAACATCTAACAACGTTGGAAATAACACTTAAAAGTTGATCCCTGCAGGGCGATGAGCCTCACCTTTACCAGGGTTCGGTATCCGTTTCCAGGTGTCTGCGGGTCAAAGTCATAGTGATGGTAGACGGCGGCGAAGCTGGCCACCACGGGCTCCAGGGCGCGGCCATGCTGCTGGATCTTCCTCATACATGCGACCAAGCGCTTGGTTATGGTGCCGTACGGCGACTCGGAGGGTCCACACAGCACACAGATGTTGTCTTCACAGACCTTCTCCAAAGCTGTGAAAACAGCTTTGTGATCCATTTCAGAGGCTGGAGGAAAGAAGGAAGAAAAGTGAGAAATGAGGGTTTAAAGCCTCTTATATGCGCTATCAGCTCAGGAGACATGTGATGTTCTCAGTATCTGCAGAGAAAAAGAAAATCATCCAGGGTAAACCCATGGATCCCACTGGGCTCATCCCTTCAGCATTACTCACTGCTGCGCTGATTAATCTGTCCTCCTGTTATCTGTTTGGTCAAGGGTTGAATCCAGAGAAGCCTGAAGGCAGAACTTTGGACCAATGAGAGAAGCTGACTGAGTCCGCAGCAGGAAGGGAGTTCACCAAACCAGGCCTCGTTTACAGCACCTTCTTTGCATCTTTTACTCAACCTCCCATGTGGTTTGTGATCAGGACGGAGGAGAGTGGATCTCATGGATCTCTGCAGCTCCTCCAGAGTTACTATAGCTCTCTCCGCTATGAATTTAGCTTCATATTTTGCTGCTTTGTTATGTAAAAATCGCAATGAAACACATTAAAGTTTGTGGTTGAAACAAAAACAAAGTGCAAGAAAAGTTAGATTAATTTACAAGGTTGATTAAAAGCTTTACAAAGAACCATAAACAAGCCGACACAGGAAAGCGGTGATGTCAGGACCGCTTATCAGAAGCTTATCTCTTGAAATGATGGATTTGTGTCGATTTTCTTCTACAATGAGTCATTTTGATCGACCTGGAGGAAATGTTGTGGTTCTCACAGAACATTTCATAAAACCGTATCCTGTCGATGGCAGGAAATACCCAGAAATCAGACTTAGATGGATTTAAATCCGATGTATGAACGTCTCTTTTATTTCTGAACAAATTTTCCTGGAAAACACTGGAGAAGACGTCATAAAGCACCATATTAACATGCATCCAAAACGCAGGGTGCATTTTATAACTGTAAGATGTAGATGGTCACATGCTTTAAAAGCTAAATCTATAACACTGAAGAATCTGTGCAAAAGTATTTATATCGCAAAAAGCCCTGAGGATGCAGGAGTCTAAGGACGGTTTGTTCATTCTTTCATCCACACTGAGAGCTTTGTCACATTTATAGAGGGATTTAAAGCAAAACTCCGGTTATATTCAGAATTCAAACTTCTGAAAGTTCTTTAAATCTGAAATGATTCCATCCTGTTCAATAAATGATCAGTGTTTTTAATTCAGAGTCATTTTCATGTGAATGTGCTTTACTGGAGGCATCCATGTTTGTCAAAGAACACTACTGCCACCTACTGGTTAGTGACGTCACGGTGCGGTATCGGCTGTTGATCAAGTCCCAGTGCTGTATCTGGTGTTTGTCACAACGCGCTATTATCCAAGTCATCTTGAAAACATTCTTCTTCCAAATGTTGGCTACATATTACGGGTTTTTTCTCTGGCCAGAAGTTCGATGGCAAATCCTCCCTCTTCAAGTTGGCGATCCAACGACCAACCCGTCCGTGGAGGATCAGGAATCAGAAAGGTGGATAACTCTTTTTTTCACTTTTACCCGATGTATTCCAGCATCCAGCTGCCATGCACGTGGGCATTGTCAGTTTCACTATAGCTCTGGTGAATTTCAATGGTGAAGTCCTCTGGAAATCTTCAATAATTGTTGTTGATTGCAGATGTGTCTAGTAGTTCCCATTGATTTAGCTTGGAAAGCGGGGAGAATGGCGCTAGGCTTACCGCACCGTGACGTCACTGCTGGAAGATGGCAGGAGGGAGGGGCTACTATATTTGGGCAAAAGTGGCCGCCCCCAGACTCAGTGATCGCAACGAAAATTATTGTTTTCATTTTTAGTCATTCACAAAAAAACAATTTAAGGTCAGATCGTCATACACTTAAAAAAGACACCAATTTTTTACCTATTTATTTATATTTTTTTTCTCTTCCTCGGTGGGGGGGAGCGGTTGCGGGAGGGTCGGTGTCTGGTGTCCGCTGTCGCATTGTGGGGGCATTGTTTTTTTTTTGTTTTTTTTTCTTCTTCCTTTGGGGGGTTTGGCATGTCTGTTTTCTCGGGGGGCGGGCGGGCCTGCTGGGTGGGGGTCCTGCTGGCGGCGCGCCGCTGGTGTGTGGGGGTCTGGGCGGCTCCGGCGGGGGTAGTGTTGGGGGGCCGGTCTGGGCGGGCTGGCTGCGCTGGCTAGGTATTCGGGTGGGTTTTCCCTCCTGGAGGCATGGCGGGGCTGCTCTGACTGTTCCCGCTGATCGCGGCGGGTGGGGCTGCGGGGCGGGTGGGGGCCTGGAGTGGCTATGGCCGGCGCGTGGTGGGGGGCCGGGGCGGCGGAGCTGCTCTGGCCGCGTGTCAGGGCCTGGTGCGGGCGGCGGGGGGGGGGCGGCGGACGTGGCTGGGCTGCTTTGGCTTCGTCCGGTGGGGGGGGCGGCGCGGTTCGCTCCGCTCTGGCTTTGTGCTGCCCCTCGGGCTGCTGGGGGGGGGTGGTTGCGCCGGCTGCGGTCTGTTCTTCTTGCAGTTTTGCGCCGGGCGGCTTTTCTGCTCTCGGGCGGATTCTGTGCGCGATGTGTTTCGTTGCGCGCTGTTGGCATCGGTCTTGGTGGGGTGGGGCTGCGCTTTTGGCCGGGGGGCCGTTTTGGGGGGGTCCCGCGGCGCTCGCGGCCGGTTCGCGGCGGATGCGCATGGGCCCCGGCCGGGGGCGGGGCCGCCTGAGTGTTTTCCTGGGTGGTGCGGTCGCGGTGGGTGTTGCGGCCGGTTGCCGGGGCTTGGTGCTGGGGGGCGGGGCGTGTTTCGGTGCTCTGTGGGGATGGGGCGTTTCGGTCGGCGCCGTGGGGGGGCTGGGTTTCGGTGCCCGGCCCTACTTCGGGGTGGCCGGCTGCCGGCGGGGCCCGCGGACTCGTCCCCGCGGCTCCCCGGGGCGCCGGCATGGCGGTGGCTGGGGGGCTTCTTCGTGGCTGTCTCTCCTCCTGCCTTGGTGGGGTCTGGTTTCCGGGGCTGGCCCCGCCTTGGTGCCTTCGCTTCTGGGGTCCCCTTGGGCGCCTGGGGCTTTGGGTCTCCCGGCGCTGGACTCAGTGCTCTGGGGGGGGCGCCTCTCCGGCTCTCCACAACCACTATTGAGCATTTTTTCTATGGTTAAAACTTTACATGCACAAGTTCACCCTCACAAACAACTACAGGTGCTAGGCTTCAGGTACTTAGAGATTCACTTCCAAACAGAAACCCCCCATTCATATCTTCAGGTAACACAGAGTACATGTCAGACTTAATAATATTACGTTAGCGATAGTTTCAAGGTGTTTGCTTTATTGTATATCTCGTACCATGTTTTTTGGTTGTGCTGTTCTTTTTTTTTTTTTTTTTTTTTTTTTCCATCTCATTACAGGTGTTGAAGCAGACTGAAAATGTTTTGTCATTGTCTCCTTCCTATCTCCTCTTTCTTTCATCTTTTGTCCTGTTTTTTTCTTTTTCTTTTCCCTTCTTCTTCTTCTGTTTTTCTGCTCTACTTACATTGCAGTGTCCATATGAACTGTAAAACTCCCTGCATAATTATAATAAAGCAATTTATATACATGAAACAAGTGGAGCAGTATGGCAATTGCCATACTGCTCCACTTGTGAAAGTAAAATCTGTTGGGCTCCTTTTGGCATCAAGACAATTATTCTTATTGCCACCTTGCCAGACAGGACACTGTATAAAAAAAAAAATAAAATAAATAAAAAAAAAAATAAAAAAGACACCAAAAATTAAGTAATTAAATAGTTTTTTTTTACGTGACTAAAGAGATACACACCTGCTGAGGTAGTTTAAAGTATTTTTCATACAAAACTAAAAGGATAAACGGTTATTGAATATCGGTATGCTGGACCCAGACCTCAGTGATCGCAACGAAAATTATTCTTTTTATTTTTTATTGATTAGTGCTTAATTCATTAAATCACTGCAAATGTATTAGTTTTTGGTATCAATATTGATAATCTCTTGATTATTCCTTGCTCACCGGACTTTTCCTTTAAACCCGAATGGATAGAAAATGTCACACCCCTCACAAAGACAAATGAAGGAATAAAGACGCTTTATTAGTTTTATTATAAATCAACCTGCAGTATGTTGCAGGTAAGCAGAAGGCTTACTTTATCAGGGGCGGATTTACCATTGGGCAATACTAGGCAGTTGCCTAGGGCCCCAAGTTCCTGGGGGCCCCATAAAACTCTGTTTACATGTATGGTTAATACAAATATTCCTTATTTGTGCACATAAAAGTCCTTTGGCTAAAATGCCATCAGAACGCTGATAATATTAAGTGTGTCTCAGCCCCCCCCCCCTTCAGTGTCCACCATATTGGATCAGTCCATTTGCTGCACATGTTCAGAAAGGTCCAAACAGACAGCAGCAAACCATTTGAAAACAAACCATGCAAAGAGCAGTGTTGCCAACTTAGCGCTTTAGTCTCTATATTTAGCCACTTTTCAGACCCCTCTAGCACTTTGATTTCTAAAAAGCTCCTAGCGCCAAATCTAGAGACTTTTTTCTGCTACTGGAGACTTTGGAGACAACATCTAAAAGCAGCGAACTCTGCTCTCCAGAGCGAGTAGATTGGTAACCCCGCCTCCTGCTCTCCTCTATCTTGTCTGCTGTCATGATTCATGCAGCTATTATTTCATCCAAATGAAAAATGGAGAACAGATAAGCAGATCATGGCTTGTCTACAGTGAAAAGAAGGACTGGGTTATTTACTTTGGCCTTTTTGGAAACACAGGAAGGAGCAATCAGCTAAGTGAGCTTAGTGCTTGGAAAAAATCTTTCATTCCTTTAGAGACAGCATGAAAAGTCAGCTGAGTACAAAACATAGAGAGGAAAACAAGAAGAAAAGGGACAAGAAGAGAGGGACACAACCTAGAACAGATAATGGATGTCTATTCTATTAACATTTCTACATCTGGAGAATGGGGCTGTTTGATGTGTTGTCTGCTCCATTCAGAGGGCACCTTGTCTGTCTTTGCATAGGGCCCTTAATTTCCCTAAATCCGCCCCTGTACTTTATCACACCTGTAATTTTACACCTGACAATCCTAATAAGGAAGTTTCCTGAAGCCTCTCCTGTGGTTTGGTGATTTTCGGCTGGTTTAAGGTTTTTCTCTGTGACTAATTCGGGGCTTAGAGCAGGACTGGGCAGCCTTTTGTTTACCAGCTGAATGCCCTGTGGCCCCCCTGTGGCCCCCACACACAGAGGCGCTCCTTTCAGCTCGTCAGCTGATGAATGACGTGGATCTGTCAACCTGCCCGATCCCAACACTGAGATCTGCCCAAACTGCTCTGTTTTTAATCATTACAGCTGGAACTTTATTTCCTGGTTCGCGCTAAAACTAAAACAAAAGCACAGAGCAGAAAGCGCCCATTTCCCCTTAGGACGCAACTTCGCTCACGACACCGAGTTCGGTGACTTCAGTTGGACACATGAGCTCCGTGAAGTACCGCAGGCACGCGGAGACATGGCTGCTGGGGCACAATAACGACATCTGTCCAATTTATGAGTTTAAAGCCGTCGAAACGCGACAGATGCGTCACTCTGGGCTGTTTTAAATCGGAACGTAGACTCACCCAGCCGCATCTTCTTCTTCTTCCTTCATGTTCTGACGGTTCCTGTCCGCGCGTTCCCGCGATGAAAGGAGCGCGCACACCTGAGGCGGTAACAGAAGCCAGAGTTAGAAAAAAAACAAGATTATGATATAAAAACATTATTACCTAATCAAAGGGGGAAATATGAAGACTAAGAGTATTAGAGCCAGGCTAGAGATATTTATATTTTCTATTTAGAGAATAAAGTCGTAACATTATTATAATAAAGTCGTAAAATTACGAGAATTAAGTCATAAAATTAAGAGAATAAAGTCATAACATTATGATAATAAAGTCGTAAAATTACAAGAATAAAGTCTTAAAATTACCAGAATAAAGTTGTAACATTACGTGAAAAAAGTCGTAAAATTGCAAGAATAAAGTCGTAAAATTAAGAGAATAAAGTTGTAAAATTACCAGAATAAAGTTTTAACATTAGGAGAATAAAGTCACATAATTACAAGAATAAAGTCGTAACATTATGATAATAAATTTGTAAAATTACGAGAATTAAGTCTTAAAATTACGAGAATAAAGTTGTAAGATTATGAGAATAAAGTCGTAAAATTACGAGAATAAAGTTGTAACATTAGAAGAAAAAAGTCGTAAAATTCGGAGAATAAAGTCGTAAAATTACGAGAAAAATTCGTTAAATTACGAGAATAAAGTTGTAACATTACGTGAAAAACTCTTAAAATTTCAAGCATAAAGTCGTAAAATTAAGACAATAAAGTTGTAACATTACGAGAATAAAGTCATAAAATGACTAGAATAAAGTCGTAAAATTACGGGAAAAAGTTGTAAAATTACCAGAATAAAGTTGTAACGTTAGGAGAATAAAGTCACATAATTAGGAGAATAAAGTCGTAACATTATGATAATAAAGTCATAAAATTACTAGAATAAAGTCTTAAAATTACGAGAATAAAATTGTAAGATTATGAGAATAAAGTCGTAAAATTACGAGAATAAAGTTGTAACATTACAGGAAAAAAGTCGTAAAATTCTGAGAATAAAGTCGTAAAATTACAACGAAAAGTTGTTAAATTACAAGAATAAAGTTGTAACATTACGAGAATAAAGTCATAAAATGACTAGAAAAAAGTCGTAAAATTGCAAGAATAAAGTCGTAAAATTAAGAGAATAAAGTTGTAAAATTACCAGAATAAAGTTTTAACATTAGGAGAATAAAGTCACATAATTACAAGAATAAAGTCGTAACATTATGATAATAAATTTGTAAAATTACGAGAATTAAGTCTTAAAATTACGAGAATAAAGTTGTAAGATTATGAGAATAAAGTCGTAAAATTACGAGAATAAAGTTGTAACATTAGAAGAAAAAAGTCGTAAAATTCGGAGAATAAAGTCGTAAAATTACGAGAAAAATTCGTTAAATTACGAGAATAAAGTTGTAACATTACGTGAAAAACTCTTAAAATTTCAAGCATAAAGTCGTAAAATTAAGACAATAAAGTTGTAACATTACGAGAATAAAGTCATAAAATGACTAGAATAAAGTCGTAAAATTACGGGAAAAAGTTGTAAAATTACCAGAATAAAGTTGTAACGTTAGGAGAATAAAGTCACATAATTAGGAGAATAAAGTCGTAACATTATGATAATAAAGTCATAAAATTACTAGAATAAAGTCTTAAAATTACGAGAATAAAATTGTAAGATTATGAGAATAAAGTCGTAAAATTACGAGAATAAAGTTGTAACATTACAGGAAAAAAGTCGTAAAATTCTGAGAATAAAGTCGTAAAATTACAACGAAAAGTTGTTAAATTACAAGAATAAAGTTGTAACATTACGAGAATAAAGTCATAAAATGACTAGAATAAAGTCGTAAAATTACAAAAAAAAAGTTGTAAAATTACCAGAATAAAGTTGTAACATTAGGAGAATAAAGTCACATAATTAGGAGAATAAAGTCGTAACATTATGATAATAAAGTCGTAAAATTACTAGAATAAAGTCATAAAATTACAAGAATAAAGTCATAACATTATGATAATAAAGTCGTAAAATTACTAGAATAAAGTCTTAAAATTACGAGAATAAAGTTGTAAGATTATGTGTATAAAGTCGTAAAATTACGAGAATAAAGTTGTAACATTACAAGAAAAAAGTCGTAAAATTCAGAGAATAAAGTCGTAAAATTACGAGAACAAGTCGTTAAGTTACGAGAATAAAGTTGTAACATTATGTGAAAAAAGTCGTAAAATTGCAAGAATAAAGTCGTAAAATTAAGAGAATAAAGTTGTAACATTACGAGAATAAAGTCATAAAATGACTAGAATAAAGTCGTAAAATTACGAAAAAAAGTTGTAAAATTACCAGAATAAAGTTGTAACATTAGGAAAATAAAGTCACATAATTACGAGAATAAACTCCTAACATTATGATAATAAAGTTGTAACATTACGAGAAAAGTCGTAAAATTATGAGAATAAATTTGTAAAATTACGAGAATAAAGTTGTAACATTACGAGAATAAAGTCGTAAAATAAAAAAATAAAAAGTTGTAAAATTATGAGAATAAAGTCTTAAAATTACGAGAATAAAGTCATAACATTATGATAATAAAGTCGTAAAATTACTAGAATAAAGTCTTAAAAAAATTACGAGACTAAAGTTGTAAGATTATGTGTATAAAGTCCTAAAATTACGAGAATAAAGTTGTAACATTACAAGAAAAAAGTCGTAAAATTCTGAGAATAAAGTCATAAAATTACAACGAAAAGTTGTTAAATTACAAGAATAAAGTTGTAACATTACGAGAATAAAGTCATAAAATGACTAGAATAAAGTCGTAAAATTACAAAAAAAGTTGTAAAATTACCAGAATAAAGTTGTAACATTAGGAGAATAAAGTCACATAATTAGGAGAATAAAGTCGTAACATTATGATAATAAAGTCGTAAAATTACTAGAATAAAGTCATAAAATTACAAGAATAAAGTCATAACATTATGATAATAAAGTCGTAAAATTACTAGAATAAAGTCTTAAAATTACGAGAATAAAGTTGTAAGATTATGTGTATAAAGTCGTAAAACTACGAGAATAAAGTTGTAACATTACAAGAAAAAAGTCGTAAAATTCAGAGAATAAAGTCGTAAAATTACGAGAAAAAGTCGTTAAGTTACGAGAATAAAGTTGTAACATTATGTGAAAAAAGTCGTAAAATTGCAAGAATAAAGTCGTAAAATTAAGAGAATAAAGTTGTAACATTACGAGAATAAAGTCATAAAATGACTAGAATAAAGTCGTAAAATTACGAAAAAAAGTTGTAAAATTACCAGAATAAAGTTGTAACATTAGGAAAATAAAGTCACATAATTACGAGAATAAACTCCTAACATTATGATAATAAAGTTGTAACATTACGAGAAAAGTCGTAAAATTATGAGAATAAAGTTGTAACATTACGAGAATAAAGTCGTAAAATAAAAAAATAAAAAGTTGTAAAATTATGAGAATAAAGTCACAAAATTACGAGAATAAAGTCATAACATTATGATAATAAAGTCGTAAAATTACTAGAATAAAGTCTTAAAATTACGAGACTAAAGTTGTAAGATTATGTGTATAAAGTCCTAAAATTACGAGAATAAAGTTGTAACATTACAAGAAAAAAGTCGTAAAATTCCGAGAATAAAGTCATAAAATTACGAGAAAAAGTCGTTAAATTACGAGAATAAAGTTGTAACATTACGTGAAAAAAGTCGTAAAATTGCACGAATAAAGTCGTAAAATTAAGAGAATAAAGTTGTAACATTACGAGAATAAAGTCATAAAATGACTAGAATAAAGTCGGAAAATTACGAAAAAAAAGTTGAAAAATTACCAGAGTAAAGTTGTGACATTTGGAGAATAAAGTGACATAATTACGAGAATAAAGTCGTAACATTAAAAGAAGAAAGTCGTAAAAATGGCTTGTTTCACAAAATATGTGCCTCACTTCCTTTTACGACTTCAATTTTTGACCACTGGATGTGCAAGTTCTCCTACTTAGAAAAGATTAGAGGTCTGTAATTTTATCACAAGTTCTCTTCTACTACGAGAAACGAAACTAGAAAATAAATCTAGGAAACCCCATTTTTAAAGAATGGATTTGTGAATTATGGTGAAAAATAAGTATTTGTTATCAACAAACAAACTAGAGCTGCATGGTGTGGCAGTGGGTAGCACTGTCGCCTTGCAGCAAAAAGGTTCTGGGTTCGATTCCTGACCCATGGTCTTTCCACATGGAGTCTGCATGTTCTCCCTGTGCATGTGTTGGGTCTCTCCGGGTACTCCAGCTTCCCCCCACAGTCCAGAAACATGACTGTTAGGTTAATTGGCTTCTCTAAATTGTCCGTGAGTGTGTGTGTCGTTGTTTGACTCTGTGATGCCCTGCAGCCAGTCCAGGGTGTTATGCCATGATCATACTTTTTGGACAGTGGGAACCAGTGTCCATATTTCATCCTGATAGGATGACCAGAGAAGAAAATGCAGCTTTGGTGAATAACAGCTTGGGGACTTCAGCAGCCCCCCCTTTTTCAGCCAAAGCAGCCACATGGAAGTCACAGAGGTGTGACCAACCACCAACCCCCCTCTGTGAGGACAGAACAAAACCACAGAGCACACAGGATTCTGTCTCTTTCTCTCTTTTGCTCCCTTCTGCTCCTGCGTTCAAAGCTGGGGCCCACTGTGGCCCACAGTGGAGATGCGGGCCCCAGGGGAACCAGAACCATTGAGGATAAGTCGAACCCTTCAGAACCAAACTGCTGCAAACAGAACTTTTGCAATACATTTCTCTTGAGTTTCAGAACTTACAGAGCCAAACTGGACGAGGAGCATGCCCTGGGTTTGAGACTGAGGGGACCCCTGGTGTGAGACTGAGACAAAGAATCCCTGACTGCAGAGCTGCAAAACTGGATAAACTCAAGCTTTCCAAATGGACATGGAAAAAGGTTTGCGGGTCTGGCATGATTAGGGACAGAACAAGCAATGTGTCTTTTGATGATGCTAATCAAATCGTGTGTTTACTGCTGAGTAAAGACAA